ATTCCATTCCATTCCATTCCAAACCAATCCATTCTATTCCATTGCATTCCAATCCATTGCATTCCAATTCATTCCATTCCATCCTAAAAAAGATGATGACATATTAACGTTTTCTGACCCACCTTGTTTGTATTTGGTGCAGTATCTTGAACAACTAGACAACTTCTTTGGGAATTGATAAACATAAAAACCGCCACAATTACGTACTCGGACCACAGTTTGTTTTTCACAGCACGAAGGACCTCTGTATACGAAACATAATTGTCTTTCCACAATACCCTCCTCAACCGAAGGAAGCGATCCGTTGACCCAACCCCTGTAGTCATCATACGCGCAGGACTTTATTAGATGTGTCAGAGGTACACCTTCGCGTTTGTAACAAAATTCTTCCATTTGATCGCCGGCAGCTCCAGCAAATCTGTACCATTTCTGCTCGTTTAGCTTATCACATAAGGGTGGGTCACTTCTTAGGCGTGCGATAGTCATGTCAGAGCGCCGATCAGAACCATCCAGGATATTGTGCTCTTGACATTCATTGCCTAAAACTAGAATAAAACAACAATGATATTAAGTATTAAGGTTTTTTTATTTTTTCATTTTATTTTGTTTGGTTTTCCGAGAAAAATTTGCTTGACGAAACAAAATTCACATCTTTAATGATGATATAGACCTTGCATGTGACGTCGAATAATCTCAGTTTGTAGGACAAAACAAAAGACTAATCTGAGAATTGGAAACCTATTGACATGTCAGTCCAATGCCTGCATTTCCACATGCTGCAAGGGGTCTATTCCCAAAGATAGGTTTTACAAGACGTTTTAAAGGCGTGCAACTCTGAAAAACGCGCAATTGCTTACATTGCTATAAGTAATGTAATAAAGCGACAATGATATTCCCAAAGATAGCTTTTATGAAACAATTGAAGGTTGCGCAATCATGACTGACCAGTTTGCAATAGCTACATGGGCGCTAACGTTATCGTAGATAATATTTTATTTTTTTTTTTTCTTTTTTTTTTTTGAGCGCGCAACTACAGCGTAAGAGTTGGTCGTTAATAAATAATTTGGTAAGCAAACTGTAATTTGATTGAATTATTTGTGGTTTTACCTGGTATCTTGCGACACTGTTCTTTCAAGAACGCTACATCATCTATAGCGAGAAAGGCCCCTTTATCTTGAATGAATCCTTTTATTACGATCTGCAACAAAGTGTTAGCACATTTACGCACAAAGTTAATATCGATTATTAATTTAATACCAAAAAAAWTTTTCAAATAATAAATTAAATAATAAAGGTACGGCGCCATATCCTTGGATTACCCAAGGGGGGGAGAAGGGGGGAAGAGATGTTTATTTTGTCAATCTTACCTGTAAGCGCTGCACTTCCCATGGCATTGGCAGTTGAACAAATGTCCATTTGTCAGTCGCGCTTCTGTAGCTCCATACCTCTGTAGTTCTATTTTCTGTTTTGAATTCTAAGGCCAATTTTCTTCTAAAATATTTATTACCGCTGTAAAACCAAAATCGAAAGCATCCCCATCCTTCAGCTTTTGGATAGAGAAGTGGACTCGACACGCTAGCTGTTCTATACAATGGCGAGGACAGAAGAAGAAAGGAATCTCCTGGGTCTGTAAAACATATGTATTCATCTTAATTCAAACTGCATATATGAGGCTTTTTAAAGAGAACCACTCATCCCTCGCTTATTGGCCATTCCGAGATTGCGCGGAAACTGGTAACGAGTAGGACGCGCGCTGAATCATAGGGCTGTCTTAGGGATAGGTTTCTCGTCATTTTAGTTTTTTGAAACGCATCACATTTGCTTTGGTTTTCAGTCTGTTTTGCAATAGGGTTTGCTAAGCTTTTCGCCCTTTTGAAAAAATGGTGTCCCTAAAACAGCCCCTTAATTCAGCGCGCTTCCCATTTGCTTCCGACTCGCTTCCGACTCGCTTCCGACTCGCTTCCGACTGGTTGGCAATTTTCCAGGCATCCTTGGAAAGACCAATTAGACCTGCTTCATGTGGTTTACAATGACACTGTTGGGTCGAACACTAGCTTTTTTTCATTGCTACCCACGTCTTAAATAGTTTTTCATAGGAGATATTCAGGCTTCATACCTTGTATATCGTACAGTTTTGACATGCTTGGTAATCTTGTTGATGTTAGTGTCCATCCGTCTTCAATGTTCCATTTACATTTCTCTCCGATACCAAAATAACACGATGGGTTTTCTGTAAAAATGAAAACAAAGTTATCTCAAGGTTCGTTTTGATCGCGCTTTACAATGCTATGCACATCTTTAAGTCCAATCTGAAAAGCTTTGTCACTTGTGGTCTACAGAACACTTGCATGTGACGTCAAAGCAGCTCGATCTGGGGGACAAAACAAAAGAATTCCAATCTCCTGAAAATCGGAACCTATTGTTTTGTCTCTCAGATTGAACTACATTCTATCTACGCCCCGCACAAGTATGGGCGATTCTCTTATGAAATTGAATTACCTTGAGTATATATAGTCGAACACTGGCCGTCTTCAAACCCCAAGTCATCCAGAGCCACAAATCCCTCTTTGACATGTCCTAGAATAATAATCTGCAAAGAAATTTGAATTTAGTAAGAAAACGTAAAAAAAACTGGTTTGTATTGTACGAGAGAATGGGCGATTTTTAGAATACAATAATGAATGTTGGGATAGTATGTGTTTGATAGTGCATACATTATGAGAGCAAACAGCACTCGCGCGCTTTTTTCATTGCGTCATTCCTATCCAATATAACAATCATTCTAATTTGTATTGAATTAAAAATATATAAAATTTGCTGCGGTGTGTACGATTAAGAACTTTGCAGAACACTCGAGAGGTGTTGAAAAGCACTCAGCTACGTGTAATGCTTCTCCTAACACTTCTCTCGTGTCTTGCCGATCCCTTCGTGTTTTATAACTGCACACGCGCTTGTTTTCTATTTCTTCAATTCAGAGACTAGGCAACCTACGAGTCACCTTAATACAAACCTTTCCTTGTGAGATTCCAGGTATTTGTACTTGTCCAAATGCCCAGACTTCAGAAGTAGAGTTTGAAGTCTTCCAGAGAAGCTGTGAGCTGGTCGGAGTCTCAATAGCGATCTCAAGGAGGGAATATAATTCATTAGGAATAAAGTACCAAAACTGCATACAGCCTGGCCCAGTGTTGATCCAGTCCCTGTGAAGGCTTGAAGACCTAACCACACTCGTCACATGCTGTGACTTTAAAAGAAAGTAGGTTCCTGAAATGAAATACAAACAAAATGAATGGTATTTTCTTAAAAAATGCACTCCCTTCCCGCTCAAACTGCCATAGAGTAGATTCAGTATGAATATGAAATGCCTTACAGTAGGGTCACGCTTATGTCATGGAATTTGTGACATCCGTTAAACCAATCACAGCGGCGCCCGAGGTTATAGAACACAACGCCGTCACGGTCACGGCATGGCACATTCGTACCTTAAATTCTATCGATACTCCGAAAAAACTTAGAGCTGGTCAACTTCAGGACACGACTAAAACACAAGTAGAAACCTGAAACAACCTCTGGGCTGATCAACGTCAGGGCACGGCTAACGAGGGGGGGAGGGACAGCCCTTGAATCTAGGGAAAGACACAATAAACTCTGCTCATATATGAGACCTAGTCCAGAAATCGAACTAATACCGTGACTTTTTGATGGTCATAGGAAATGTGATCTATAAATACCGTTTCTGGTCATCGTGGTGTGATCATGGCTTGGAAGATTTGCTTTTTTATTTAGCAACTCAGCTGGAGTGAAAAAAATCCACTGTAACGTGCTGCTGCGGTTTTGTTCAAAACCACAGGGACCGCTCTCAAAACCACATAGTCCTAAAACAAAGCAAAAACAATTAAAACTACAAAGAAAGATTTTTAAGAGAGCGAACATGATGCAATGTGGTCTAGCTTGGGTACATGTACAACTATATTTTTATTATGCATTACGAGTTTTTGTTTGTACAGAAAACTCAGTAAACCCAATGGATTCTGCTTATCGAAGTCTAAAATGATAGCAAACATGGTGCATTCTGGTATAGAATGGGTACAAATACTTTTCATAGACGGTGAATTGCATGGTGTTATTTGTACCCAAGGTATACCAGAATGCATCATGTTCATCGAACCCACAAACGGCGTCTTGTATAGTATCGTGTTTACCTTTAGATTTACAGTGTGAGGAATCACTGCGTCCACTTTGCGAATCCACGCAACTATTAGAATCAATCACATTCTTTCCTGTGGAAATCAGAGATAGCAATAATTCTATTCAGAGTTATATTGAATAACTATGATGATGATGATGACGATGACGATGTTGATGATGATGATGACGATGACGATGACGATGATGGTGATGGTGATGGTGATGGTGATGGTGATGGTGATGGTGATGGTGATGGTGATGATGATGATGACGATGACGATGATGATGATGGTAATGATGATGGTAATGATATGATAATGATCAGTCATGATGATGCAGATGGTGATAGGGATGATGAAGATGATGGTGATGATGGTGATGATGATAAGTCATGGTGATGTAGATGAGATGATGATAGTGATGATGATGATGGTGGTGATGGTGGTGATGATGGTGATGATGATGATGAAGATGTTGATGATGGTGAGTCATGATGATTTAGATTTTGATCAGTGATAACGATAATGATGATAAATACGATAAATAGCATAATGCTGCTGATAATAACTTAATCGCACTACTTACTGTACAGAGACAAACCATCTTCACATGTTTTGTTGAAGGCGCAAGGTTCAGGACCACAGGTCCCGTCAAAACATTCAAAACCAGGGCATTTGATTTCTAAATATAACGTAATATATTATTTTTTGAGACATCGGAAAAAAAGAAATTATTTCGTTAAATATTAGATTTTTCTTAGATTAAACTGAACTAAGCACTAAGCGTTCTTCGTTTGCACATGACGTCATAGCCGCCATGTTGGAAGAATTTGACTAAAGATTTTCTTAAATGATTTTTTCCGTTATATTTTCCAACATGGTGGCCATAGCTTTTGTTATTTTACTTCCTTGGGAATTACTGCAAACCAATAAATGACGTATTCTATCGATTGTCAAAGTTGATATCAAGAGATATGATGCTATTTTTAGAATCTTTGATGCTACTTTTAGAATCTTTGATGCTATTTTTAGAATCTTTGATGCTATTTTTAGAATCTTTGATGCTATTTTTAGAATCTTTGATGCTATTTTTAGAATCATTCATTTGATTGTTTGTTTTTCTACACGTGCATATTGCATAGAGCGTGCGCAGAATGCGCGTGCAGATAAACAAACGATGACAAATATGATTCTAAAAATAGCATCAAACGGTGCCTATGATGGTTACAAGCATGGAATACCAGAGATTCCTTCTTTTAGTTTATTTCCTCTTGTTGATATTAAATCCATAATAAATATTTTCTTCAGCACGCACCACGGTGAATCTCGTCTTCTCCATTTCGACAGTCTTCGATTCCATTGCAGAGTTTAGTGTACTTAATGCATGTTCCATCTGAACACCTGAAGTAACTAGAACGACAAATGCATCCTGTTTCGTCTGATCCATCCAGACAGCCATCAAGGATTCCATTACACCTGTATGTTTTATCGACACACTGGCCGTTGTCACACTTGAATTGGTTGGTTTTGCAGCGAAATCCTGTCAGGTTAGAAATATTACTGTTATTTAAATATAAAGAAATTGGCATTACCACGTTGTTGACCATGTTGCTGATCATGTTGCTAATCATGACAATGATCATGATGATGGCGATAATGGTGATGGCGATGAAGATGGTGATAATAGTGGTGGTAATGATGACAATGGTATTGATGGTAATGATGATGATGATGATGATGGTGATGATGGTGATGACGAGGTTGATAATAATGATGATGACAAAAATGTTGCTAATCCGATTATGATGATGATGATTACTAGGGTTGGTATTAATGATGATGATGATAATAGTGGTGATGGTGGATGATGATGAAGATGATGATGATGATGATGATTGTGATTCTGCTTTAGGTTCTTCCGCCTCAATACGATTAACACACCTTAATTCTAATCATACCTGGTTTAGCGAAGACAGGCAGCAATTCGCAATCCTCAGCATTAAACTGGAAGTTTTTCACAGCAAGGGCAATGGTATCATTTGCAGCCGAGATGCCTTTGAATAACACCTAAAAATTAATCAATCAATCGATCGATCGATCGATCGCACTCCATTCAGTGGCCTTCCACCAAAGGGAAGGGAAGGGAAGGGAGGGAAGGGAATGGAAAGGAAGGGAAGGGAAGGAAAGGAAAGGAAAGGGAAGGGAAGGGAAGGAAAGGAAAGGAAGGGAAGTAAATTATCTCGTTTTGACCCCCGGGTGGAAATTAGTGTAAGAGTCCTATCATGGCACCGCTTGGACTATTCATTTAAGAATCTTTATTCGCTCCGTAAAACCTAACAAGCTAAATTCCAATTCGATCTTTGACTTTGAATAGCCCAAAGGTTGTTTCAGGGTATCGACAAAAAAATATTTTTTCACCTGAGCTGCTTTAGTGTCTGTTATAACAAGTTTCTGCTGTAAAGCATACCTTGAAGGGTTCTTCTGATCTCACAGGTATCCTTGCTCTTCCCCAACTTATACCGTGATAACCTGACATCGTCCMTCGCAGTACCTTATCATCTGAAATTCTGTTAGAATGGCTGTAAACCTCAAGACGAGAGGTGGAGTTCGTAGGAAGAAGATAGGAAAACTCTACACAGAAACTAATTTTCTTGTAAGTAGGGTTCCACAGCAACTGTGGGGACCATAGAACGGCTTCTCCAGGTGTCGTAACTGCCATGAAAGGAACTTGAAAAAGAGAGAAAAGAGAGAAAAGATGGCGTCAACAAAAGTAGCATCTGGTGGTCCTTCCTCCTAAAGTTTAGTTTTCCACTTCATCCATGTTTTTAAATAATACCTTTTTTTTTTTTTAATAACATTAGGAAAAAAGCCATCCACAACTAGTTTGTCTCTAAGTAGCTCGTATTGATGGAGTTCTTTTGGTTTTGGCGGGAACATTTCGCGCCAAAACGCGTGCGCTCGGCGGCTGCCGACCACCCCTGGATCCGCTACTTAAAGAGTAAAAGTTTATACGGTTCAAGAAGGACTTACTTTGTTTCTCGAGTTGGCAAGAAACATTCAAGCTTGAAGCAGGTCTCCAGTTTGATGTTTCAGAAGAGATTTGCCAGCCATCACACAAGCCGTTATGAAAACCACATCGATAAGAAACAGAAGCTAAAACGAAATGAATAAAAAATAACTCAAACTTTGATATTTTTRATTATGGAATTTACTGTAATTAGGTATTAGGTGCCTCGTTACCCCTCCAGGACCCGCCCTTGAGCATAGGTACGCATGCTCGCATCGCTCACTTCAGTATAGAACTCACCAGAGACTTCTACTGATTCAATCACTGTTCTTCTTCGAGGCGAAACTAGTAAGTGGCCTTCAAGTGAGTAGATTATCTGCGAGGAAAGAAGGTTAAGCAAGGAAGCAAGGAAGCAAGGAAGCAAGGAAGCAAGGAAGCAAGGAAGCAAGG